GGCACTGCGATAACCCAGCAGGAAGTGATGGAGGGGGAGGGGCAGGGCTGCGAAAGGGTCAGATCCTGGATGTGACTTGAAGGGAGCGCCAGCTGGGTTTGCTAATGGATTGAAAGTGAATGTGAGAGAGGGAGCGAGGCAGCCAAGATGATTGCCAGGGTTTTGGCCTACGGAAGGAGGGACTTGTCATGTTCTGGGGTGGGGTGGCTGCGGGAACAGCTGGTTTGATGAGCAAGAGCAGAAGTTTAGTTCAGGACCTATGAAGCCTGAGTTGCCCCAAACGTCCAAGTGGCAAGGTCAGCTTGAAGAGCATTAAAATCCTGTTGCTTCTCTCTGAGGAGCACATGACTTCCACAGAAGGCCCTTGATATTCCGAAGTAGCTTTGTCAAAAATCAGTGTCTGCCTCCAAGGTGCCCACCCCTCCACCACTCCCTCATCTCTCAGTTGCCTCCCCTTGTGCCTCAGTTTCGGCCACACCACACAGTAGGTGCTTTCTCCCGAGATGCTCTGGGCAGACCTGGAAACCTCAAGGTGAGTTCCGAGTGTTCAAGGCAGCCCAGATTTAAAATCCTGTCGTCCCTCGGCTGTAAAGCTCCACTAACTGAGTGGAGGAAACTTCCTCTGTGCATGTGATATGGTAACAAACAGTTTATTTTATTTAAGCGGATTTCTTATGCTTACACAAGGGCTCTGGAACCCATCCGTGTCACGGAAAGGTGAGGAATTATTACCGAGCCTGTGAAATGGGCACGAGGCCATTGCCTGGGCCGAGGGCAAGAGCCGGTCAGTGACGTTCGGAGCTTTGTCTTCCACTGGCTCCGAGCTTGACAGGCTCCTGGGCCGGTGTTCTGGGGTCCAGCCCCAACCACGATGGTGCTGGGAGCAGCCCCTCAGCAGATGGCCCTGGCTCACGGCCTCCAAGAAATCAAGGGCCTAGAAACAGACAGTGGCTTTCCCGGGTCTCACAGCAACGCGGGCCTGAGCCGGGCTGGGGCCCAGGCTCTGCAGACCCTGGTCCCAAGCGTCGCCTTCACCCCCTGTCCAGCCCCAGCCGTGTGCTCACATTCCCAGGGGCTCTTAACATAGAGCAATCTGTCCTCCCAGTCAGAGCAACGACCCTCCCACCTGCCCCACATCCTGCCCTGCCCCGGGCCTCCCCCTCCCCTCCTGCTTCCCTCCCTGGACACTCTCCCCATCTGTCCTGCGCCCACGTGTTTGGCTTACTCAGGCCCCCAAGAAGTGGACTCCCAGAGAACGATCTCGACTTCTGGTCTGCCACGTGCTGTTATGAGCAAATAGTCACTTATCCACTCCTCTTAGCAACCCCAAGAGGCAGGCACTATTACGAGTCCCATTTTACAGATGAGTAAACTAAGGCCTGAGAAAGTTAAAAAGCAGAACTAGGGTTCAAAAAAGTGGCCATCAGGCCCTTCCCACCATGCTTTGCTGTCCAGAAATCTCACTCTAATCAATTCCCGTGGCCACTGCTATAGGCAGCCCCTGGGCCCTAACGACTGCTAGAAGGGCCAGGCCCGCGGAGTGGCCGGCAGGGGAACGGTGGCCCTGCTTTCTAAAGCACAAAAGGCCAAAGCAAGGCCAGGCCTGTGTCAGAACCGGAGACTGGAGCCATGCCGGAGTCATCCCCTGGCACCTTCCACCCCAGGCTGAGGCCAGGCTGTGCCCTGGGCTGGGCTGAGCCCTGCGGGCCAAGGAGGGGCCGCCCCCAGGGAAAGCCAGGCCCTGCCAAACAAGCCTCCTCCCTCTGCCAGCTCAGCCTGCCCAGCCCTGCTGGGCCCTTGGTGGCAAAGCCACCCTCCCCTGGCCCCTGCTGGGCTTGTCAGGACATTCAGCCCCAAGAGTGTGAGGCCCCTAGCTCCTCCCCCCAGCTCCAGCTTTCTCTTCTAAAAAACACCCCTGTTTTCTCCTGACATATTTTGGCCTTTTATTTTTCCCAGGGGCAAGAGATAGAGAGAGGAGCCCCAGAATGCCCACGAGGACCTCAAATTGTTCACTTAACAAAATAGGGTAACTGAAGCAGCAAGCAGCGAAGTGACTTACCCAAGGTCGATTAGCTGGTAAAGGGACAGGCCTCAGACTCCGACTCAGCTCCGTCTGGCTCCAAGTACAGCAGCTGTCCCCAGCACTGCAGGGCCTCACAGAGAAGGGGGGTGGGCAGGTACAGCGTGTGCTGGGGACCCCCAAAGGCGGGTGTCAGCACCCTCCCTTGGCCCCTGGCAGATGTTCCTGTGACGTCAGGGCCCACGTACTCCTCGTAATGAGAAGGTGAGGATAGGGCTCAAATCATTTCTCTAGAAAAGGAAAAAATACTACAAATGAAACAAAACCCAGAACCAGACAAACTACAATGTACAGTTGCACCCATTCCCTCCCCCAGCCCTGACATGTGAGCCACAAACTTAGGTGGGAAACCTCATCCATTCATCCATCTTGTCATTTGTTCACTGGGTATTTATAGGGCCACCTACTCTGTGCTAAGCCCTGTGCTGGGTGTTTGGGATTCAGTCATGAGCACACCAGCCCCCGTCCTTCTGGAGACAGACAAGTTGAGAGGCAAATACAAAAATGTACAAATGTGGCCAGGTCTGGTCTGTGCTGGGGAAAAACTAGGAGATGTAGGTGCCCAGAGAAGGCACAACTTCAACCTGAAGAGGAGCATGGTCTTGGAAGGCTTCCCAGAGGAGGTGTGATGTCAGAGCTGTGCTTTCAAGGACGAGTCGTCTAGGAGTTAGCCAGGCAGGCAAATGAGAGCATCGGGTGCAAAGGCCTAGCAGAGCAGGCAAGACAGGACAGCTTCTTTAAGGAAATGCCAGGAGGCCAGTCTTCCCAAGGCAAGGATCAGGGACCGATGAAGCATGGGCCAGCCCACGAGATCCTCTGGGGCCACCCAAGCCCTGGTGCTCATGTTTCTGAGCTCCCTAGTACCTGCTCTGACCCAGACAAGGGTCAGGAAGATGATAGGGGTGTTGGGGACTGGGCCAAGGACACTCAGCAGGGATGGGAAGGCTGAAGATCAGGCAATTTCTTTGGGACTTTCTAGAACAGACCCCTGAGCTCCTGGCACAGCTCGTATTTTCAATCCGAGGCTTCAATCTGTTGAATCCTCAACAGTGGAATCTAGGACTCTTCTAGTTATAACATGCTGGTGACAGTGACGGACACTTAGCCCTCACTGAGACCCACCATGAGTCTGGATCAGACCTTCACAAGTACCATTTCTAGTTCCTGTCACCCCCTGTTGCAGAGGTGGCCAGGGCGGTCACTGAGATTGCTGAGGGCGACTCAGTGGGTCGGAAGCAGAGGTGGTGTTACACCCGTATCTGTCCGACTCCAGCTTCAGCCCGAGGTGAAAGGGGTCCTAAGTGAAATGACTGTCTTCTGCGGGGCCTCCAAGCCAGCCCTGAGACAGGGTTTGTACAAAAGTGGTTTATGAGGGGGCGTCTCCAGGACATACCAGAGGCCCAGTGGGGAAGTGAGACAGGGCGGGGCAGGGGGCAAGCAAGGGCCTGCCAGCCAGGTAAGTCTCCTGCCAGGCAGAAGGTACAGAGACCAGGATCTCTATTACCCTGTACCCAGCAGACCTTGGGGGGGGTGGCAGTGTACCCCTCAGGAGTGGGCATCAGTTCCCAGGCACTTTCAGCTCCCCCTGGGCATAGGCAAACGGGCTTCTGACAGGCTGAGCAGCGTGCGACAGAGAGGCAGGTGCAGGCTGCTGGAAATGGGTGGATCTCAGGACGGTATTCTGAGCTGGTGCGCAGGAAACGAGAAACAGACCTGCGGGCCTGGGCAGAGCACAGCCTGAAAGCGTCTGCTTACAGGCGTGAGCAAGCTGAGTGACTGTCCCAGTCCCCCCAGCCAGTGTCTGTGGTGGCCTTGTCATCCGCATGATTCCGTCACCACATACTGCTCACATTCATTCAACCAAGACCTGGCCATGTGCCCACCACATGCTAGACTCTCGGAATAGGGCGGTGAACAGAGCAGTGTTGTGTAGTCCCTGTCTCCATGTAGCTAAGAGGCAGGAGGCTGGCTGGGGATACAGATGCCAGATGCCAGGTCATCACTATGAATAGACAGGGGCTCTGGGCCATGGCCAGATAGCTCAGTTCATTAGAGCATCATCCCAATATGCCAAGGTTGCAAGTTCGACCCCCCAGTCAGGACACATAAAACAATCAACCAATGAATGCATAAATGGGTAGAACAACAAATCAATGTTTCTCTCTCCCCTCCTGTAAAATCAGCAAATTAAAAGTGAGAGATGAACTCTGAAGGAAAAAAGTATGATTTTCTGAGAACAGAGGAACTTGACCTAAACCAGGAGCATCGGGGACAGCTTCCCCCAGGAAGTGACATCTGAGTGGGTCAGGGGCAGGGACGGGCACAGTGCAGAGAGCAGGAATGGCCTCTGGTGCTTCCCCGACTAGGCATCTCCCAGCCCAGGAGCTCCTGGGTGAGGCGGGTCCTGATCAGGGCCCATGGACAAGCCTTGGGCTCAGCCTCAGTTTGCCCATCTGTACAATGGTGCAGAACAGGTTTGGACTTCCAGCTCTGGTGCTTGACTCAAAACATTCACTGAGAAGTGGGAACAACAGCCATCTTGGGACTCTCAGTGACCTCTGTCCTTGTGACCCAGGCCTTCCTCCTTCCCTGTACAGTGTCGGCCTGACGCTGAGGGCCCCCACTTACCACGCCTGTGTTGCAAAACAACCTGCCAGGCACCCTCGGCCCAGACAGCCCTCTGCCTGTCCAGGAACTGTCAGCCCCTGGGGAAGCTGAGCTGGGCCTTTCCAGAAACAGCTTCATTTCTGGAGAAAGCCTGGCCCCGCTTTGGCAGCAAACCTGGCTCATGGATTCAGAGCTGACGGTACCTTGGTGTAAGTCTTGAGCAGCCTGTGACCTTATGATAGGGGACTCAAAAGTTGGAAAATTTTAGTTTAAGGTAAAAAGTTATGTCTAGCAAGTAATGCATATGTTAAAGCTTTTGTTTCAGAAACTACAGAAAAGGCCCATCCTGGCGCCTGGGAAAATAGCCGACCTCCTGGGGAATTGCTAAAGATCACCGCCTGGGGACAAGTGGAGGCATCCGGGCCTTTGTGTTCCAGGGAGAGGCAGAGACCACCTGCCCCTGGGAACAGCTGCCTGCCCAGGACAGGAATGTTGCAGTTTTTTTCACCTAATCCTTCTTGAACTTCAAAACCTCTCTCACCACCTCTTGTTTATTCTGTGCTATGAAAACCTTGGCCTGGAAAGAAAAGGAAGGTGATATGTTAGGGTATGAACCTGCCATCTTCTCAGATCGCTGGCCATCTGAATAAAGTGCCCATGAAGATTCCATTGCTGTCATTGCTTATTGGGTTTGGTAGTGACAAGCAGCCTGAATGCCAGTGTCTTTTCCGGTTTTATTTATGGCCTTGGATCCTTCTATGAGACAAAATTCATTAAGTCGACATTGACTGATGACCTACCATGTGCCCGGCACTGTTCTAGGCACTAGGAGAGACGGCAGTAAAAAAAAAAGCCCCCCCCCATATCCTACCCTTGTGGAGCCAGATTTCAAATAGACAAACGTCCTACAATGTCAGGTGGTAAAAAGTGTTTCTTGCAGAAAAATGAGGATAGAAGCTACTAAGCAAGACAGGGAGGTCAAGGAAGTAGTCTTTGTGAGAAGTGATGTTTGAACAAAGACCCGAAGGAAGTAAGAGAGGGAGCAGTGTGGTTTTCTGGAGAAAGGCACACCAAAGGGAGGACACGCAGTGGGAAGGCTCTGAGGTTGGAGAGAGTTGAGCGTGAGAAAGGTGTCAGGAGGCCAACACGCCAGAGTTGGGGATGGAGGTGGAGAGAGACCTATGGAGCCATTGTGTCTTTCTCTGACCCCTTCCCCCCACAATGTGGCATCATCAAAATTAAGCAGGAAAATACACAGATGAATACAAGGTTGAAATGGGCAAGTAACACCCCAGTGAGCACATTATGCAAATCTTTGCAATTAACATTACAGAGGAGGTGAAGCCAACGGGGCCAGGAACTCCTTCCTCCAGGGGCTCCAGCGCCATTCTTGCCCTCCCTGCATGCCCGGGGACTCGTCTGGGAGGGAGGGAATCGGGAGGGCAGGCACTCCCAGGAGTGAGCCAGGGCTTGTGCTTGTTCTCACGTTACTTCCTCCACCCTCCACCCTCCCAGCACCTGTCAGAGGCAGGAACAGTTATGGTTCTATTCTGCAGACGGAAAAAGTGAGGGCGGGAGAGAAGGAGATTTTTTTAAAAGATCTTTTTTATTTATTTTTAGGGAGAAAGAGAGGGAGAGAAACATTTGATAAGCACCCGGACTGGGGACTAAACCCACAACCCAGGTAGTACCCTGACTGGGAATTGAACCTTTCACTTTGTGGGAGGACCCCCCCCCCCACCAACTGAGCCTCACAGGTCAGGGCGAGAAGGAGGAGATTTGAGTCCCTGGGTCTAATTGGGTCTCCTTAAATCAAACGGAACAGCTTTTTTTCTGAGAACTTTCCAACTCATCCTCAGGCCTTTAAGAATAAGGCAGACTTTCTATAAAAGGCCAGGGAGTCACCAGGCTGCCCCGCCAGCTCAGTGACCAAAAGTAAGCACACCGGATGCTATCTCATCGCAAATTCCTGACTGAGTAGGTTATTGTGGACTGTCACGTCCCTGGCCCGTAGCTTTCTCAGCAAAGGTCGATCTTTACCTTAAGTGAGCCCTGTCCATTGTTCTCTTGCACCGAGGATAACATACCTTTGAAATGTCAGAGTCATTTTCTTTTTCTACACTTCAAGGGCGTAGCCCTCAGCCGCAAAGCGCAAAAACCCTCGGAGCCCAAAACTGCAGAATTCCTTCCTCACTGTTATCTCGTGCCTGCATACCATCTCTATGCGCTGTAAATGTGCATGGTTAACTAGCCTGTCCCCACCAACGTAAAAGAAATATGTGTTTCTACATTTCCCTTTTATGCAATCCTAGAGATTCCCCCCTCTGCTTTCTCCTGCTTCTTCAATCTGCCACCACTGAGTTTCATGCACTTCTTGAGGTCTTCTCCTTGATTCTCATCTTGTAGAAGATAAGCTACAAAACTGTCATCCTCTGGGGTATTTGAGATCTTGCTTCTTGGCATATGCTGTCGATCTGGCTCAAAAACCAAACCTCATAAAAATTCTCTACAGCTTGGCATATTTCTTTCCTTTTAGGTTTTGTGGGCTCTTGTAGCATAAAAGCAGGTGATGTGTAAATGATGGTATGGCTGTGTTGCAATAAAACTTTATTTACAAAAATAGGCAGTGGGCCAAACTGCCGGCTGTCTCGTTGGTTGCTCTAAGGGATCTGGTTGAATCAGAGCTTCCCCTGCAGTGGGCAGCGAGCCACTGAAGGCTGTGGGACTCTGGCAAAGTCTACGGTCCCTCTGAGCCTCGACAATGAGGGGACGCTCTGGGTGAGGCTCAGTGAGGAGAGGGCGTTGGACTGACTACAGTGTGGGGGGAGGGGTGCTCAGGAGGTCTCGGAAGTCCCCGTGGGGCACCCCTGGGAGGGCACACGATTCCAGCACCACCTCTGTGTCACAAACCGCCCAAAACCTTGTGAGGTAAAATGAGCGTCTTGTAAATCTCCCAGATCCTTGAGGTCAGGAATTCAGATCTGACACAGTGAGGGATGCGGGGACCGTGATGTCAGCCATGAATACCTGCAGGGTGACTCAGTGGCTGGAGGCTGGAAGCAGCCTTAGTTGGCAGGTCTGGAGGTTGAGGCTGCCTCCCAGTGGGGGGCTCCACAGGGCTGCTCCCAGGACCCTGCCCTGTGGGGCCCCTCCAAGTGGTCTCTCTCCAGGTGGACTTCCTTAAAGCGTGGTGGGCGCGGTCCAAGAGAGCAGAGTGAAAGTGCATTTTTGTGTCCCACCTTTGGAAGCCACGTAGTGCCATTTCGCCCTGCTCCGCAGGTCAGAGCAGTCACAGAGGAGGGGGACACAGACCTCCGCTGCTCAGCAGATGGAGAATTAGGGTCGCATCATAAAAAAGCATTGAGTTCATTCTTAGGCATTGTATTCTTTTTGTTGCCATCTCAAAAGGAATTGTGGGTTTTTTCTTTTTCTGAAATTTCATAGTTAGTATAGAGGAATGCTGTGTGGTTTTGTACCTTGATTTTGTATCCTGCGACTTTATTTATTTATTGTTTCTGGTGGTGTCTTTAGAGCTTTCTAAGTATAGAATCACATCATCTGTAAAAAGCGACACTTTCACTTCTTTGCTCCCAATTCGGGTGCCTTTTTCTTTTTTCTCTTGCCCGATTGCTCTGGCTGGGGCTTCCAGAACGATGTGGAATTAGAGAGGAGAGCGGGCATCCTTGTCTCGTTCCTGATTTTGGAGAAAAAGCTTTCAATTTCCACCATTGAGTATGACACTGGCTGAGGGCTTGTGATATAAGGCCTTTATTATGTTGAAATTCTTCCTTCTACACTCATTTCATTGAGGGTTTGAATCCCGAATGGATGTTGTATTCTGTCAAATGTTTTTTCTTTTTCTGCATCCATTGATAAGACCAAATGATTTTTATCCTTTGTTTTATCAATGTGGTGTTTCACATTGGTCGATTTGCAGGTGTTGAGCCATCCTTGAACAAACCCCACTTGATCATGACATATTATTATTTTTTAAAGATATGGTTTCTTAAAAAGATTTTATTTATTTATCTTTAGAGGGGAAGAGAAGGAGAGAGGGAGAAAAATATCAATGTATGGTTGCCTCTAGTCCATCCGCTGCTGGGAACTGGCCTGCAACCCAGGCAAGTGCCCTGAGTGGGAATCAAACCGAGATCCTTTAGTTCACAGGCCCACACTCAATCCACTGAGCTACGCCAGCCAGGGCTATTTTGGGGGAGATTTTTGACAGTTGTTTCAATTTCCTCACTGTTAATCATTCTATTTATACATTCCAATTTTTCACAGTTCAGTCTACATGCAGCTAGGAACCTATCCACTTCTCCCAGGGTATTGAATTTGGTGGTGAACAGTCTTTCATAGTATTCTAGCACAATCCTTTGTATTTCTGTTATGTCTGCAGTAACTTCTCTTTCACTTCTGATTTTGTTTATACAAATCTTTTCTCTCTTTGTTAGTGAGTCTCACCAGGGGTTTGTTGTTAGGGTGGTCGGTGACGCGGGCTGTGAAAAAATTCACAAAAAGAAGAAAGTAGAGAATAAAGTTTTTTATTCACTCTCCAAGAGAGGAGAGGGGCATGGTGTGGAGAGATACCCCAGCACTGGGGGGTGGGGACTTTGAGCTCTTGTTGAATTATAATTGGATGAAGAAGGGTGGGGTGGGGGTTGCTGTGGGGGTTACACAGGCGGCAGTTTGTCCCAGTATTATCTTCTGCCTGTGGCCACAGGGAGCGGTTAGTTCTCTTCTTGCTTTCCAGTAATTTCCAGTCCTGGGGACATAAGGTCAGGTGAATAAAAGGGCAGGTTTAATAAGGCCCCAGGCCTACGAGGCAGATGGTGCCACAATAGCAAATGGGGCTGTATCCTTCCATGTGTTCATTTGATTAATCTTTTCAAAGAACCAATTCTTTGTTTACTTAATTTCTTGTATAGCCTTTTTGTTCTCTATTTCACTTAATTCCGCTCTAATTTTTTATTACTTCCTTTCTTCTACTCACTTTGCCTTGCTTCCGCTCTTCTTTTTCTAGTTCTTTAAGATGTGATGTTAGGTTGTTTATTTGGGATTTCTCTTGTTTCCTGAGATTGGCCTGTAATAATAGAAACTTCCCCCTGGTTACTGCTTTTGCTGCATCCCAGAGGTCTGGATAAGTATGTGGTCATTCTCATGTGCACTTTCGTTTTTTGTGGGGGGGTTCTTGTTTGTTTTTTTACATCTGCAGTTCTTTCATGCATTTCATGTATTTCAACAGCATGTTTTGTTTTGTTTTGTGGATACAGTGCTAAAAGCTAGAAATCCAAAGATGACTAAAACAAGTCACAATCAGGCCTGACCCTGAAAAAAAAAAAAAAGCGTCGCCAGTTTGCTTCCCAATCAGGGCACATGCCTGGGTTGCATGTTTGGTCTCCAGACCGGGCCATGCTGTGCGAGGCAGCTGATCAATGTTTCTCTCCCTCTCTTTCTTCCTCTTTTCCTCTCTCTCTAAAGAGCAGTCATGAAGGTGCTTGTAACATCACAGATGAGTCAGACATACAAGAGGTAAATATATATTAAAATATAAAGACCTAAGAGAGGGAACACTCGAGTCAGCTGGAGAGTATCAGGGAAGCATGGAAGAGGGCATTTAAGAGAGGTCTGAGGAGCGGCTGGTTATTTTTTGGATGGGGAAAGGCA